GGGGCATGCGGGGCAGTATGGGCACCAGGGGGTGGGGGGCAGTGTGGGGGCCACGGGAGGAGGTGTGGCAAGGTGGATGGAGGGCTCAGTGGTGGGTGCGACCGTGTGAGTGAACCCTTCCGCTGGCGGAAGGGTGGGCTCACACGCTGCACCCCCCAGGCTGGCCTGGGGTCTCCTTCCCATCCTACTCCCCCCTTCACTTTCCGGCGTGGGTGACTCCCCCTCTTTATGCCACATGCTTGTCTGGCCCACAGGCAGGGGTCAGGGACCCAGGCCCACGTCTGCCAGGCGTCCACCTTGTCAGATGGTGCCCCCGCCCCCACCTCTGCCACACGGGGTCCTGCAGGGAGCAAAGGAGGCATCAGGCTGCAGCTTGAAGGGTCAGGAGGGCTCTACTCTGGTATCTGTTGGGCCCAAAGCCAGGCCAGGGTCCCTTCCTTGCCCCACGTGTGTGCCTGCAGAGGCCCCGGGGCTGGGTCAGTGTCACTCCATCCAGAGGGACAGCGGTCAACCCAAGCAGGTGAGGGGCTGGTCTTTTCAGTCCCTTCCAGGTCACCCTCGGAACCGTAAATTGTGAGCGGGGGGAGGCCCGGGCCCAGCCTCCCTGTGCTCCTGGGTCAGGAGGTGGGAGTGTCCCCGCAGCCCACAGAGCCGTGGTCCCGGGCATGTCTGCGGCCCCCCTGCTCCCCCAGGTTCCCGACTGTTGCTGACCCTGGCGGGGGGTGGCCCTCTCCCCAGGGAGGGCTCGTGGCCGGCCTCCTCATGCTTGCCTGTGGGGTGTGGGGCCGCCGTGCACAGAGGGGGTCCGTCCCGATCCAGGCCTCACTCCTATCATTCTCTCCCCCTTCCTCACCCCTGTCTCTGCCCCAATTCTCTGCTCCCTGCTGCCTTCTCCGTCTGTGGGTGTGTCTGTCCGTCCCTCTCTGGGCCTCCAATCCTCGTCCCCTCCCGTGGCCGCTGTCTCTCGTGCCTCTGGCTCTTTCCTTCCTGGGATTCTCCCCTCCCGTGTTCTCGTTCACCACGCGTGTCTCCTGCCCTCCCCTCCCCCTGCCCTCGTCTGTCTGGCCACCTTTCTGCTGCCCCTGCCCCCACTTCCTCTCCGTCTCCCCCTCCGTCCGTGCTGGTCCTGCTCCCACCCCCACCCCCACCCCGTCCTGGCTCAGGCACGCGGCGCAGCAGGGGACCAACAAGACCGTCGCGGCCAGCGCCAGCGCCTTGAAGCAGATGGCGGAGCTCCTGCGGGGCTGCTCCCGGGTAGGTGGTCCTGGAGGCCGTGGGAGGGGGGCCGTGGCAGGGGCCCCCGGGGACACTGACGTGCCCAAGATGCCCACGCCGGCCTGGGATCGGCCAACGTGGCTGCACGGGCCGGAGCTCAGCGCGCTCACTGGGCGCCCACTGTATGCTGGGCGCTGCTGTGGAGTCCGTGTCCCTGCTGGGTCATCCCGACGGAGACGGATGAACCTCCATCCCCCCCCACATCTCCCTGCCACCCAGCCTGCCACCCCTCACCCTCTTTGTCACCACCGTCATCTCTGTCCTCGCCAACGCCACCGCTCGTCATCAGAGCACAAGCATTACCGCTGTGGTCACAACTGCCCCTTCACAGCCCTGACCCTCATCACACCTCCCTGTGGCCCTCCCCCCTGCAGCCCCTCCCCCCTGGCCACATCCCCGCTGTCCTGCAGCCCCCCCCCCCCACAGCCCCTCCCCTGTCATCTTCACCGTCGGCCTCTTACTTCCCTCCACCCCCATTTGCTAGGTCAGCGCACCCCTGTCTGCTGTCCCTCCCCGCCCTGCCCAATCCCCAAACGCTGGAGGGCGCTTGTCGCGAAACGGTAAATACCCTCAGACCCTCAGCCGCCACAGAGCGGGATCGTGCTCTTAAGTTGTGGTTTTTCCCTGCCCATCACACGGTGCCGGGGCCCCCTCACGCTGCCTCGGCTGACGCGGGTTCTGGGGACGCTCAAGTCCAGCCTCCGCAGAGAGAGGCGGGACGCTGGTGAGGAAGGCGCACCGTGGCTTTCCGGTGGAATGCCCGAGATGCCAGCTGTGCTGCCTGAGGTCCGCTCAGTGACGGAGGCCGGTGCAGAAGCCATGCATTGTGTCGTGTGGCCCCGTTCGCACAAAGGGTCTGCAAGACGCAGACCTGGGCGGACCGCAGGGGTGGGGGCTGCGTGGCTGGAGGGGAGCTGGGAGGGCCCGCGGGGCCCCGGGCGCTCTCTGGGCCGGTGGACGGGGGCACGGGGAACGGTGCTTTTGTAGCGTTGGCCACGTGTGTGGCCTCCTCACACGTGGCGTGGCTCTTTGCTCGTGGGCTCCGTGTTGCCTCCTTCATCCAAGAGCATGTCTCCAGGGCCTCCTGTGCGTAGCCCTGCACGCCGCATCCGCGTTGGGCGCTCCTGGCCGTCTGCGCATTGCTGTTCCCACCCCCGTTTATATGGAAGGACCCTGAGGCTGGGAGAGGGCCCCGTCCAGAACTTTGTAGCCCCAGGGAGGAGCCTTGGCTAGATCGCAGCCCTGGTCTTTCTGGGGCCAGAGTCTGTGGTGTCGCCGGTGTGCACCCTGGAGGCCAGGGATCAGAGCTTGAATCCCTTGGGGGTCAGAGGGATCACTTCTAGCCTAACGTGTCCTTCCTTGTGTCCACCCACCTGCCCGCGTAAGAACCCAGCACACGCTGAGCACCTACTCTGTGCCCCTGGGAGAAGGACACAAGTGGGGTCCCCTCTGAGGTGCTCGTGGTCCCCTGGTAGCACACGTGGCTGGAGGGGCTGCAGGGGCTGCTGTCCCCGCAGAAGAACGGCCGTGCCCTCACATGGGCTGCTGCTGGGTCTCACGGACCGGAGAGCCGGAGGCGTTTTCTCAGTGCCTGGGCTCTTAGCTCTGTCCCGAGGTGCGCGTGTGGGGCCCCTCGCAAGGGCCTGAGCCGGACGCTCAGAGAGGGCTCCGCAGACCCGCACCTGCTGGCATCGCTGAGGGTGAACAGCCTGCCTGTGCGGCCGCAGCCGGTCCTCCGCGGGCTCGCGTGGGGGCTCAGGGTGGTGGTGGTGGGGGGGGGGTGGGCACCAAGCCCGGGGGCCGAGTTCAGGTTGGTGTCCCGTCCTGGGGTGAGGGCACAGGGCGCCGGTGTGACTTTGTCTGTGCCGGTGCTGCGTGGAGGGAGGGGAGCGGAGGGGCTCCTGGCGGCCTGTGGAGCTCACACGACCCCGGCAGGCAGCCTTCAGGGCTTGCTCGTCCTTCCCTGCTCTGGAAGTATGCTCGAGCGCCACTTTTCTGCCAGGCGTCCTTCTGGGCACCAGGGCGCACCGGCAGACACGCCAAGTCCTGTTCGGTGCAGGGGTGAGGCCGTGCGTGCTGCCGAGCTCAGTGGTGAGGGGGACGGTCCGACACTGGGGGTGTCAGCTGCAGCCTTGCGTGTGGCTGGGTGCAGGGCTCTGGGTCAGTGGCCTGGCTCTGTGGCCTGGCTCCGCCACCCCGTGTGGCCTTGAACCGGCCCCGTGGAACTCGGACTGAGGTCTCCTGAGCCCTCAGGTAGCGAGATGTCGTGCGGACCAGACACGCGTATGGTATCGGCCCAGCGCCTGGCTCCGCGGCGGGTGCCGAGGGTGTCGCGCGTGGGATCGCGGGGGGAGGCGTCTGCGGGGACGCAGGCCGAGCCTGTGGAGCCCGTGCTGGTGTCTGAGATGGCACGAGACGGCATGGGGCGAAGTGGATGGGGCTGAGCCCCGTTCCCAGGGCAGAGGCCTGACGGCAGTGTGGGGCCGGGTGGGGGCTGGGGGCACGGTGCGGCCTGCGCCCTGAGGGACGGGGGGCCGAGGAGCGTGAGGAATGAGCGGCCGGAGGAGGCCACGGGGCAGGACAGGGCCTCGGCTGCCTGTTGAGGCCACACTCCCCCTTTGCAGCAGGAGCATCTCCAGCTGGACCGCCTCAGAACTCAGCTGTCGGATGCCATTCAGCGCTACGGCGCAGTGCAGAAGGTGAGGCGCTCCTGGCGGGGTCGGCCGGCCAGGTGGGGGTGGGTCTCGGTCCCTCGGGCACCCGCTCAGGCACTCTTGTCCCCGGGCTGGCCCCCAGAGCAGAGGGCTGGGCCGGAGCCACAGGCTCCCAGTGTGTGCAGTGGAGGAACCTTACCGTCTGGTGCCCAGGAGGCATCAGCAGAGCCCTGCCGGGAGGCGGGACAGGAGACCCTCGTCCTGACGGAAGGACACGGAGACCCGGAGCTTAAGGGTGTGGGAGGGGGCCGCCCCCTGGGTTGTCGGCAGAGCCCGGCCAGGTGCCCGGCCGAGCACCCGGCTTTCCTGAGACCTGGACGTCTCCCTCTGGCCGCGGAGCTGACGGTGTGCGTTGCTGTCGGTGACCGTCCCGTACTGCGTGCTCAGCTGACCATCTCTTCTCTCCTCCCCACCCTTCTGTTCCTCCCGTTTCCCTCTGTTATTTAACAGAAAATTGCAGAAAAGTCCAGAGCCCTGCTTCCCGCCGCGCAGAGAGGCGGCACGCAGCGGGTGAGTGCTGAGGGACCGCCATGGTCGGGGGGGGGGGGCATTAGGTGCCGGCACAGAGTCCACTCACTGCCCTCGGTGCTTGGGGAGGCGCAGGGGGCGCCGAGGGAAGAGGCCCCATCTGGGGGAGGGGGATCTGAGTTGATGAAGGACCTTTTAGAAAGCCAGTATTCTGGCCTCAGTCCTCTGGCGCAGGCTTGAGACGGGGTACTGGGGGCTGACCGTCTGCTTGCCTTCAGGACGGGCTTGTTCCCGCCAGCCCTCCCGGGGGGAGAAACGGGTAGAAACTGGAGTCCTACACGAACAGGGCAGGGAGTGGACAGGAACCGTGTCTGAAGGTGCAGTGGCTGAGACTTCTCCAAAAGTGTCCAAATATTTCAAGCCACGGGTTGAAGAGCCTCCGTCATACACAGGATAAATCTACCCTGTTCCTTAAAAACCACCCTTACTCGTATCATAATAAGATTTTGAAAACCTAAGACAAAGATAAAATCCTAACAGCAGATTAAAACCTGAGGAAAGAAGTCATGTTATTTTATTTTTTAATGTTTGTTTATTTGTTTACTTATTTTTAATGTTTATTTATTTTTGAGATAGAGACAGAGCATGAACGGGGGAGGGTCAGAGAGAGAGGGAGACACAGAGTCTGAAACAGGCTCCAGGCTCTGAGCTGTCAGCACAGAGCCCGACGCGGGGCTCGAACTCACGAGCCGCGAGATCACGACCTGAGCTGAAGCTGGATGCTCAACCGACTGAGTCACCGAGACGCCCCAGTGTTTATTTATTTTTGAGAGAGATAGAAACCGAGTACAAGTGAGGGAGGGGCAGAGAGAGAGGGAGACACAGAGTCCGAAACGGGCTCCAGGCTCTGAGCTGTCAGCACAGAGCCCGACGCAGGGCTTGAACCCACAAACCGCGAGATCACGACCTGAGCCGAAGTCAGACGCTTAACTGACTGAGCCACCGTGGCGCCCCAGTGTTTATTTATTTTTGAGAGACATAGAAACCGAGTACAAGTGAGGGAGGGGCAGAGAGACAGGGAGACACAGAATCCGAAGCAGGCTGCAGGCTCTGAGCTGTTGGCACAGAGCCCGACGCGGGGCTCAAACTCACGAGCCGCCAGGTCATGACCCGAACTGAAGCTGGACGCTCAACCGACTGAGACACCCAGGCGCCCCAGAAGTGATGTTATTTTTAAAGGAGCGACAAGACTCACACCCGACCCTAAGGTAAATCAGTAGGAGCCGGAGGACAACGGGCAGAAAGCAATCGCTTATGTGGAAGTTTGCATTTGGTGAAGATAGTTTTCAGAAATGAAGGTTGAATGAAAACATTTTTAGAGAAACACAAACCGAGGGCATTTATCGTCAACAGAACTCTGACGGTAGCAGAGGGAAAGCGTTCCCAGGCGGACGTGCGGCAGCAGGAAGGGACGGTGCGTCCTGGGAACGCTGACGTGAGGACACGTGTGAGGCAGTGCGGCTGGTGAATAGTGGCCCCGGCCGTGGGGTCTGGCCGTGGGGCAGGTGGAAGTGCTCGGCCGGCAGCACAGGAGGAGGAGTAGCTGCGAGAGAGTGTGCGACGTCCCCGTCCTCTGAGGAGTGATGAGAACCCTGATCTGAGGCGGCTGCCTGTTGCGTTAGGCAGGTGACACTAAAGGACAACATAAGAATATGAATTGTAAAATAAGGAGCATATGAAATAACGAAGGGTTAATTTAAAAGAAAACACGGGTGTCTGAGTGGCTCGGTCGGTTAAGTGGCCTTCTTTTGGTTTTGACTCAGGTCGTGATCTCACGGTTTGTGAGTTCAAGCCCTGCATCAGGCTCTACAGTGACAGCCCAGAGTCTGCTTGGGATTCCCTCTCCCTCTCTTTCTGTCTGTATCTGTCTCATGTCCTCTCTCTCTCTCTCTCTCTCTCTCAAAAATTTGGAAAGAAAGCAAAAAAAGAAAAAAAACAAAAAACAGGAAGGAAAGTAGGAAACAAGTTGTAAGGTGGTGGATTTATACCAAATTCACTTATGAATTAGGAGAATGGCCTAACCCCTCTGATGAAAAGGCACACATTGTCAGATTTGGGTAAAAGAAAAAACCAGCACTTGTAAGCAACACACTTTAAATCCAGGAGAATGTTGAAAGTAAAAGGATGGTCAGAGATAACTATGAAACCAAAGAAGACTTGTGTCCGGTGCTGATATCTGAACGAGCGAGTCCGTGTGAAGAAATGTCGCTGCCGACAGAGGTGTGCTTCACGGGGATGACACGGTAATTCAGATGTAAGATGTAATTCTGTATAGGCGCCTAATAACATAGCCTCAAAATACACAAGACAGAACTGATAGTAATAAAAGGAAAAATGGTAAATCCACAATCGTAGTTGGAAGTTTTAACACAGCCGTCCAAATGACTGATGAGGTGAACAGAGAAAAGTTCAGTGAGGATCTAAAAGACTCGTCACAGTTAAGGAATACACTTCCGCCCAAGTGGACATGTCACTGCAGCCAGCCACAGGGGAGCGAGCATTCTCTGCAGGTGCACAGCACACGCTGAGTCCAGTCTCGACGGATTCCAGAGGGTTGGTGTGACCCTGAGGACACTCAGACTGGCTCAATTAAACTCACATTTGGTAACAAAAAGGAAATTGCCACGCTTGAGGAGTGAAAGAATACAGTTTGAAGGAACCCATGAATCAGAGAAGAAGTCACAGCAGAAATTAGAAACCATCGTGAACAAAAATGAGAATGGCTCCAAGTTAAGACCTGTGGGTGCAGCCAAGGCAGCTCCCAGAGGGCAACTCACAGCTTTAAATTCTTCCACTGGGAAAGAAGGAAGGATGAAAAATCGCAGCTCTGATTCTCAATCTCAAGAAGCTAGAAAAGCAACAATAAATTAAATCCTAAGAAAATATATAGGAAAAGAAACCCAGAAATCAATGGAGTGTAAAATAGATACATAATAGACAAATTCAACAAAGCCAAAATTTGACTTTTTAGAAGGATTAATGAAAATAATGAACTCCTACAAGATTAATCACAATACAGAGAGAAAATACAAGTTACTAGTATCATGAATGACAATGGCTATAGCACGGATCCTACCAATTAGAAACAGCAGAGGTATGAAGATACTATGATACAACTTTATGCCGATAAATTTGACAACTTAGGTAAAATATAAATTGTTTTAGGAAAATGTAAGTTACCAAGACATACGGAGTCTGAAAAGTCTGGTGTTTATTAAAAAAAATGAAATCAATAACTAAATAATTTCCATAGTTAAAATCCCACCAAGAAAACCGTAGACCTAGATGGTTTTATTGGTGAATTCTTCCAGTGTTTGAGGAGTAAATATTACCAGTTTATACAAACTCTTAAGTATCTTAAATATCAAGAGGGAACACCTCCCACCTGGCCTTAGGAGGCCACCAGACCTTGATTCCAAATTCTTCCAAGGATATCACAAAAAGGAAAGTAACATGTTCTCTCGTGAGCACAGGAGCAAAAGCCCTAGCCAAATCACGAATAGACCGAATCTAGCAATATGTGATGGGGCAGTACATCATTATAAAGTGGGTTTAGTCTGGGAATGCAAGGTTAGCTGACATCCAGAAATAACCTGTGTCAGCTGCCATATTAATGGAGTAAGTAAGAAAATTTACTTGATAGTCTCAGTAGGGAAGATCACTTGGTGAACTTCAGCACCCATTTAGGGTGAGGAGAGAGACTCGGCAGACAGGTAGGTAGGAATGCCTTTAATCTGATGATGGGGGTCTTCAAAAGCCCCACAGTTAGCATCACACCTACTGGGGAGATGTTGAGATCTTTCCTCCTGCGACTGCGGACAAGACACTGTGTCTAGTTGTATCACCTCTACTCCCCGCTGCGCTGGAGGGCGTGTCCAGTGCACTAAGACATGAAAAATAAATGAAAAGTAGAATTGGGGCGGAGGAAAGCACTTCAGAGACATGACTGCATTACTAGGAAAGGTGATCGGATCTGCAGATAAACTTAGAATTAGTAAGTGGGTGTAACAGGGTCAGTAGACAAGAAAACATCGTGCTAGCAAAAGACAGCTTGAAAGTGAAATTTAAATGCCACTTGTATTAACATCAAAACTGAAAGAGGCCTTTGAGTGGCTGTTTGAACAAGAGTCCCGCCATGCAGTAGGGAATGGAAGGTCCGTTCAGGGCTTGACGCCGGACCGGCTGGGGGTTGAACTGGGAAAAAGGATCCTGTTGAGCAGATGGCCAGTCCAAGTGCAGACACCCCAGCCCCTGCATCCCAGTGTCGGGGTCGCCAGGGAAACGGTGCAGTCAGTTACCGATAGAACAGTGCTGTGCTCACACAGAGACTAGCTGGCAAGGCCAGCTCCTGCGGTGGGCATGTCCTCCGTGGCCAGTGGGGCCCTCCCGGTGATGAGGCGGGGTCGTTGGCTTGCACGCATCCCTCTTGTGCTGCAGCGACAGGCCCCTGTCCACCCCGCCCCCGCCCCCCACCCGCAGTGGGCTTGGCTGAGTGCCACGTGATGCAGGTGCTTTGGCCGAACAAAGGAGGACGAGTTGAGTCTTAAACAGGGAAGGACGTTGTCGTCCAAGGCGCCAAGCCTGGCACAGCTGTGAAGGCTCTGTCTCTTGGTGAGAAAGTGCCCCAGGCCACGGCCCATTCTTACGTGGCCGAGAGGGGCCGGGAGCCTGCGTGCACGCAACTGCCATTGCCAGCATATCCTTTACCGTAACCCACCCCGTGCACAAAGAGCACTTCAGCTGGATCACAGACATACATGTGAAGGACAAAGCAACGAAGCTTCTAGAAGATACCATAGGGGTCTATCTTCACATCTTTATGGTGAGCTAACGTTTCTTACACAGATGAAAATCTACTAAGTATAAAGAAGAGACTTTGTTAGATTAATGCACCCTGCAGAGAGTGAAGAAGGCATTAAAGAAGGTGTTTACATAACGTGTATCTGAAAAGGACTTATGTCCGTAACATGTAAAGGTCTCCA